AGTAAGCAAAGAGAATGCATACACACACACACATGCACACACACACACACACACACACAATCTGACAGCAGAGATAGGTATTAGAAGGATGTATCCAGAGCCAAGGAATGCCAGAAGCTAGAAGAAGCCAGGAATGAACCTTTTCACGGGCTTCTGAGGGAGTGCACCAACACTTGGCTTTCAACCCAGTGATACTGGACTTCTGGCCTCCAGAAGAGAGAACAAGTAACTTTGTACTGTCTTCAGCCACCAGGGAGGTGCTGACAGCAGCCTCCAGAAGCTAGCTCAGAGGCATCGTCTGGCTCCTCAACACAAGCAGATCCCAACTATCCCCATGACTGGCACTGAGGATGTCCACAAGGCCGGTTATAAATGCCAGTGTGTGGTAAAGGATTGGGCCTGATGGGCATAAGTCGAGATCTGAGTGACCCTCACACAGGGAAACGTGTGGTGATGACGTGCATTACTGTGAGGATGTATTCTTGGAATCATGTGAAGGCCTGTGATCACACCACAGGCTCATGGGAAGCCAGGAAACGGTCGCTCAAACTATTCAATCAGGAAGTGTAAGGGAGTGTAGGGGGCAGTTGTTGCTGGCAATTTTTGTTTTGTTTTTGCCATTTTTCATCATTGGTGATCAAATCTAGGGCCTTCCTTTTTTGAAACAAGTACTCCACTGGTGAGTTCTATTGCTCAGCCCAGGAAGGCTGGTTTTGCTTTTTCTTTGTTCTGTTGTGTTGTGTTGTTTTGTTTTGTTTTGTTTACACAGGGTACTGTAATGAAGCCCAGGCATGCAACACCACATCCTTCTGGAAGGTTGTTTTAAAAGACAAAGAATCCCAGGAAGGGTGTGCAGAGAGGTCACTGGATAGACACCAGGAGAGTTCACAAGCCACTGGGACCCAGCGAATGGCAAGTCATTCCTGCTTTTGCCTGAACTTGGCTGTCTCTGGTTCTCAGCCAGCATGGTGAAAAGCAGACCCAAGTTCAGCTCCTAGATGCCCAACGCGATCAGTCCAGTCACTGGAATCCTGCTGGAAGAGAATACGGAGTGCTGAGGAGGACGCATGCGCAGTGTTTGTGGCCCTGCCAAAGGCAAGGGGTTGTGGAAAAGAATGGGGATTACTCAAAATGATAGACGGAATGGCCCAACAACCCCACCTGCAGTTTCAGCAGCCAGTGATCACCCGAAGTCTTGATTCATGATAATTATGTCAGACTCTAGAGTCACCTAAGGGGCAAGGATAAGGTAGTGATGTTCAAGGGCCATAAGGAAGAAAGGAAGAGGAGGTTGTATTTAATGGGCACAGGTTTCGGGCTTTATAAGATGAAGAGTTCTAGGGACAGGTGGGGGCGATGTGGACGCACACCTTCAAAAGGCATAGAAGGGCATTTTAGATAGCTGTGTAATACAGAATTTTAGAACCATGGTAGTTTTAACTTTAAAAGTTAGTTTTTAGATTAGCAACCTGAGTAGTTACTTTCTTCACGGTATCTCTGTACATATGTGTTATTATACTTCGCGCGTCTCCCTCCTGTGCTGAGCCCCACCTTCTGCCCCTCCAGTGGTTCCCCTTTTGCCCAGTCATGCTCCCCTCTGCTTATTCCCATGCTTGATTACTCCAGGCTCCACCTCCCTAAAGATACCTCCCGCATCATGATTGTTTTTGTAGTACTAACACACACACCCATACACACACCCATACACACACCCATACACACACCCATACACACCCATACACACACACACATCCCACACACACCCATACACACACCCATACACACACACCCATCCTACACACACCTATACACACACCTCTACACACACATACACCCATACACACACCTATACACATACCACACACACCCATACACATACCCATACACACACACATACACCCATCCTACACATACCCATACATACACACACACCCATACACACACACCTATATACACACACCCATACACACACACACATACACACACTTATACACACACACACATACACACACACCCATACATACACCTATACACACACACATACACACATACCACACACACACATACACCCATACACACACCTGTACACATACCTATACACACACACACACACACACACTCACGCTTACACACCAGAACATAGTTCTACATCTAGGATCTGCATATGAGAGACAGCATGGCTATTTGTCTGTATGCTTATTTCCCTTAACACAGGGATTTCCTGCTGCATCCATTTCCTGAGACTGATTTCACCTCTCTATGGCTGCGTAAAATCAAGAAGAATCTTCTATTTTTATTTAACTCTTTTTTCTCATTTTTCTTCCTATTTTTACAGTTTTACTTCTTCCTTATTTTCTTTTCTCCACTAACATTTTCTTTATTGGTAACGGCTTTTCATTAACTTTAATTTTTCACTTAGCCAAATGGTAACATTTGTAATTTTGTGAAGTGCATTACTGTGCCTGGTCTGTTCTTACTGTGGTTACTGTTACTAGTGCTTTCTCTTTGGACAGTACTGAGGATGGAGTTCTCCAGAGAAGCTAGTCATTGAGACCCTCACAAAAAACGGTCATTATCCATTGAGACATATGGGCATACCTCAACACAGAAACATAAGAAACATGGGGTGGGGGTGGGGCATAACATGACTCCTCCAAAAAGTCATAGCTTTTCAGTAACTGAGACTCCAAAGATACCAAAATGGATGAAATGCTGGGCAAAGAATGAATTCAGAATTTGTTTGTTTGTTTGTTTGTTTGTTTACTTATTTGTTTATTGGTTTGTTTGTTTGTTTGTTTGTTTTGAGACAGAGTTTCTTTGTGTGCTGTCTTGGAACTTACTCTGTAGATCAGGCTAGCCTTGAAGTCAGAGATCCGCCTGCTCCCCAGTGCTGGGACTAAAGTCTATTGCTACCACACCCCTAAATACAGTTCCCCATGTTGTGGTGACTCCCAACCATAAAATTCTTTTTGTTGTTACTTCATAACTGTAATTTTGCTATTGTTATGAATTACAATGTATGTAACTGGCATGCAGGATATTTGATATATGACCTGTGTAAAAGGGTTGTTTGACTCTCAGTGGGGTTGTGACCCACAGGTTGAGAGACTCCGCCTTAGATTAACTGGATTTAACAGACATTACAGAAGTAGGAGCATACACTTTGCTTTTTTTCAGCTCCTGAAACCTTTTCCAAAATAGATCATATTTTACAATCTAAAGCAAGTTTTAACAAATACACGATAATTTAATTACTCTCTTGCATCTGATAAGATCTTAATAAAATCAGAAATCAACAGAAAGAAATATCATAAGATATACAAATACATACACATAATATGTTTTTTCATGAATATTTCCATGTTTTCTCTCAGACATGGAAGCCAGAATTACAACTCACACACACACAAACGCACGCATACATGCACACATGCATGCACACACACACATCTTGAAAGCAGAAGAGGCAATAACACGGTGGTGCAAGGGGACTAGGTAGAGGAGGAAGACGGAAGGCAAGAAAGCATTGGGAGAGTGAGTTATGGTCAATGCATCATACATGCTGTACGGAAATGTCACAGTGAAACCCACATATAACCATCTGTATTCATAACTATAAATTTAAAGAAAGGAGGAGGAGGAGGAGGAGGAAGAGGAGGAGGAGGAAGAGGAAGAAGAGGAAGAAAATTTTGGAAGAGTTGAGAATTGTTAGTTGTGGGATTTTTCTGTTTAATGTTCTCGGACTAGGGTTGCCACAGAAAGTGAAAGGATGCTTTTGGGGGACACCGCTGTCAGACCAGCTGGGCTTGGCTTTTCAGGAAGATGGTTGGTCAGAGTAATGACCACTTCAATGATGTGTCCTTCTGAGGAAGAGGCTCGGGGTAGTCTGGGTGTGGCAACGGCACCCTCTACATCCACACAGATGGTCTTGACGCTGCCTTACAGGCAGTGTTTCTTCTGGAAAACCATTGAAAGGAGGTGCAACCTCACAAGCTGAAAACCCAATTCCTGCTGAAATTAATTCCATGGTGACTAACAAACGCTTCCCAGATAAAGCAACAAGGGAAAAATGTAAGGAACGAGCATAGGCAGCGTCAGTATGCTCGCAAGCAACGGGTGGGATCTGCCCACTGTAAGCCTTCACAGCAGCTCAGAGGGGCGCCAGGAGACCCTTTCCTCCCAGCTACAAAAATCAAGGCATGCTCATCTGCTGGGGGAAAATGCTGGAAGTCAGATCTCCCCACTAATGAGCCCAACATTAGGGTATCCATGCTTCGTTCTCTGCTACATTTCTGCAGGCGGTAGACAAGAAAAGGCTTTTAGAGAAACTGAGATATACCAAGCTCATCTTCTGCCTTTGAGAGTGATTTCAAATACAGAAAAAAATCTCTCTCTCTCTCTCTCTCTCTCTCTCTCTCTCTCTCTCTCTCTCTCCCTCTCTCTCTCTCTGTTCATCAGCAGCTACCTGTGGCCCAACTAACAGTACAGTCAAGAATAAGGCCTGGTTGCCCAGGCAGGCTATCAGGCATTCCTTTCTGGCTCAAACATATTGGTGCTCCCAGACCAGCAGGAGCTGGGAAGACAGTTATGGGACCAATAGCTCATTGAGAGATTTAGGGTCCCTGGGACCTGCTGATCCACACTGTAATCTTCAGGCTTCCAGCCTTAGAACCTGCATAATCACCCATAGGGAGCCTGTTCCCACTGATCCATGGGCCCCTGGCCTATACCGTGGTGATGTTGAGGTGGGGTCAGACACAGTATCAAGGTGTAGGCCTGGGTGGGCCCATGGAGACAAAGGACATCTGTGGTTCCTGGAAGAAAGGCCTAGCACTTGAGTTCAGGAGACACTGCCAAGAGGAAATCCCCAGGGGTGGGATGTGCAATCCTCCCAGGGTCCACTGACCAGAGGAGGAAGTTGGCTGCAGGTCTGCCTATTAGCTGAACAAACAACACATTTCCCAGGAGGGTGAGGTTCCACTCCTGGATATATGAAACCATCAGGGCCAGGCTTCAGGAAAAGTGTCTTAGGTCCCAGGAGCATCTTCTGAGTCTCATTCTACCATGAAGCTTACCACCACCTTTCTAGTGTTCTGTGTGGCTCTGCTCAGTGACTCTGGTGAGTTCTTTTGGGGCTTAGCATCTCCTATGGAGGACCTGCCATTGGTACCTGCTCTTTCCTGGCCGTTGCTCTTCTGGCTTTTTTCTACAGGGGAACCCAGACGATCCTCTGCTTATCCCTTGGAGGCTTTCCTCTACATTTCCTGTAGTCTTTAAAGCTTTCTGCCATCCGGCCCCCCTGAGCCTTCGACCTGCCTCTAGTATACCTACCCACCTCCAGCTTCTTCTCTTCACCTACCAGCCTGAGGGCTTATTCAAGGGCCAGCCCTGGATTGACACCATCTGTTCTCAACCTGGTTAATGTCCCCTCAGTCAGCAAGGCACAGTATGAATGTCCCCAACTCTAAAAACCTCACCCACCTCCTATGGCCCTCTCTGTAGCTATCTCCTCCCTGGGCCCTCTATGTGGCCACCTTTCCTAGCTGTTGTTGGCATCGCCCTTGACATAGGGCAGCCATCAATCAAGAGGTAGGTGAGTGTCTGTGACATCTCCCTCGAGTGCCTCCCTGGAGGAGTTGTGTCTTCAGAATCGAGAGGGCGCTAGGTTCTCTGTTTGTGTTGACAGGTGTTGCTTTCTTCGTGAATTCATTGGCCAAACCTGCGGTAGAACCCGTGGCTGCCCTTGCTCCAGCTGCAGAGGCTGTGGCAGGGGCTGTGCCTAGCCTACCATTAAGCCATTTGACCATCCTGAAGTTCATCCTGGCCAGCCTGGGCATCCCATTGGATCCTCTCATAGAGGGTTCCCAGAAGTGTGTCACCGAGCTGGGCCCTGAGGCTGTAGGAGCTGTGAAGTCACTGCTGGTAACATGAGGATCCATCCTGGCTATTCCTTCCTTGCATGGGTATCCCTTCCTGGGTGGGTACCCCTCCCCAGACACCCTGGACATTGTAAAGATAGAGTCCTTGCTTCCTGATATGCTCCAGCAAGCTATATCCTAACTAAACTGGGAAGAGTTCAAGGAGTTCTTCAGTGTTCACCTTGCACAAGTGGCTGCCAGCAGGCCACGACACTTGTCCTAGGGTCCCCTCCCCATAGGCTTTACAGAGACTCTCCCCAGACAGCTACTATGCCTTCCTGTCTTGAGTAACCTAAGGTGCCCAGGTCCTCTCCTCAGCAATCCTTAGTAGCAGTGAAGGGCTCTCTCAAGCTTGGCTTCTCTTTTCCAGGGGGCCCTGACAATGTTCGGTTGAGGTGACCCTGGAAAAATTTTGCCTGACAAGATGTTACTCTTCAACAGGAGCTGGAAACCCTGCTTCTCACACCTGTCCTCTCTACCTTAATAAACACAGCCAGAGCAGCTTTGCAGTTGATGTCTTCTTGCCTCAAACCCAATCCCTATAGGAAGCCAAAAAGCATCATACTTGTGTGTGTGTGTGTGTGTGTGTGTATGTATGTGTGTGTGTGTGTGGAGGGGGGGGGAAGAAGAGAGAGATGGAGAAACTGGACTACTTATTTTCCACTTAAACCCAGGGCTGGGATTTTTCTACTCCAATTATAAAAACAACCAGATTTGAACTTTACATTTTGGGAGGTGATGAGATAAAAACTAGAGGAAAAAGCCACCCGGATTCAGGGGAGGTTTGAGTTTCATTTTCAATACACTGCCCCTACGATCACCAAGACGTATGGCTCTTTGTGGAAGACTCTCGTCTGAATAGCCACAAACACATATAGATGACTTGTTTTCCAACTCTGGTGAAGTGGGTAGGGACACCCTGACATGTCCCTGGATAACTTCTTGTTAACAATAACATGCCTAGACTCTGTGGATTGTCTGATAACATGCCCTAAGTTGCCACAGAAACACTGTATGTTATAGAAGCTCACAAGACCTGGGAGTGGACAGGCTTGTACTGAATTAAATAGCCCAGTCTGAGCCAGCTCTGCTACCCTTATTAAACTGGCAACTCTCCCTAAGGACAGTGAGAAACAAATGCTTAGAAGAGACCTTAGGATTCAGCTGAAGCCCAAGACCAGCTCTTGTAGATTCCAGGGGAAATGAGACCAGCATAATCCTGGTCTGATTAGGAGGTGGATGCCCAAATCTGTTATTTGAGACGTGAGGAGAGTGCAAAGGGGCGACTGTACTGGATGTACTCAGTTACCCTTCATGGGGGTCTTTTCCATAGAGCGTTTTGGCAACTGACAGCACCTAGCTGAGTTGCCTTCTAGGAACCACACTCAAAGAACTACAAGGTCAGAACTCTGAGCCAGAGGAAGTCTGCATTCTGGTTGCTGTGGGTTTACTTCTGTGTTAGCAGCTCTCTGGGGTAGGTCATATATGACCTGGACTCTTAGCTTCAAGGGGGAACAAATCTGAAGGGTCTTCACAGCACCAGGGTCTTCACACTCCCATATAAGGATCATATAAGGACTTAGTGATTCCATTACCACTCGGCTTCCCCTCTGCCCAATACTAACTCCTTAATCTTTCCCACACTACCATGGAATTGTTAACTCCAGGGTGTGTGCAGAGTTCTTTCTAGAGGATGACTCCTCCCTCATTCACACCAGTGTCACCTCCAATCTGGTATCTGCCTTTCCTCTTTTCCTTAAGGTTTTTCTTTTGTTTGTTTATGTATATGTGTGTATGTATACGCACATGTGTTAGAATGCCTATTGAAGGTGTCTTATCTCTTAGAGCTGAAGTTACTGGTGTTTACAAGCTGCCTGACTTGAATGCTGGGAACTGAACTCAGGTCCTCTGTAAGAACAGCAAGCACTCTGAATCATCTTTCTCTCTCCAGCTTCCAATTTTCGTCTTTCAAAGGCCACACCATCTCTCCATCTTTCCAACAGAATCCCTGCACATAAACCTGTGTCTCAGAGAAGGCACCATGAGACAAGTTCTGTTTGTTAAGAAGGCTGTCTCAGTTAAAAAAAAAAAATCAGTGGCAGGGAGAAAGAACTAAAAAAGCTTTATTTCCTTAAGTAAATCTTATTTTGTTAATTTGCCATTGTCACCACTGAGACTACTACCAAAGCCAAAAAATACTTTTAAAGAAAAAGACAATCCTCTAAAACTTGACAGTAAGAAATAAATCTAATTTTGTTTCTGAGGATAGCCACACAGAAGCAATCCATATTACAGAAAAAGATGGCAGTGGAAGAGGGTGCACCCTAAGGACAAGAACTAGCTAAGTAACAAGACATTTTTCTTAGTGATGGCATTGCTATCCCGAGGCTGTTCATGGCACATTCTAAGTTAAATGAGTAACTATGAGCTGGGAACATAGCTCAGTGGTAGAGGACTGACCCAGCATAAGATGTTGGATCCCAGTCCCAGTACTAGGGATGAAGAGATCTTATTTTTTAAAAGTCAGTTTAGTGTCATTAAAACCCAAGTTTTTTGGCCAAAATTAAGGGAAGTACTGACTTAAGACTATTAATTTTAACTACAAACCTTACGGTTCAAATAAAGCAGAACTATCAACACTTAACATATTAGTACTTTTGCCATTGCTATGATAAAACGCCAAGACCTAGAGAAGGGTTTACTCATTTGGCTTACAGTTCCGGGGGCTTAAGTGACAGAACAGCAAGGCAGCAGGCAGCCAACATGACAGCTGAAGCTGTGAGCTCACATCTTGAAGGGCAGCACAAGCAGAAAGACTGTGAAGTGGGAATAACATGGGTCTTCGAAATGTCAAAGCTGGTTCCCAATGACACACCTCCTCCAACAAGGCCACCCCTCCTAAGCCTTCCCAAACAGCTCCACAAACTGGGGACCAAGCATTCAAATGTCCAAGACCACAGGAAACAGTTTCCTTTCAAAACACCATGGACATATTTTATCTTTGGGTGAAATTCTCACATCTGTCCTCTGAGATGACCCAGAACTTGGAAATGACAGTGGCTAAAAGCATCCCTTCCTGTAGTATTCAGTTTTGGTCTCCATATGCAACTTCCTATTTTAAGAAGCAGAAATCTCTGAATGAATAGTTAAGTACAGCCCTTATGTAGGAAACATAAAACTTAACAATTTTTCATACCTGATAGGAAATTATCAATGACTACCAGGACCGCTTCAAAGGTACACAGGCCAAAGATCAGGTTATTTTTGAATGTTAACAGTAATAGCTGAAACAAACCTTACCCAGTATGTATATAAATCCATGATCTTGAGCAATAAATGGCTTATTAGATACCTTTCATCAAAGAAGACAGGGAAACCAACTTATTCTGAAAATGGATGAAAGAAATAATCAAGAATGTGCCTTGCCTTTCTGATCCTACACAGGGCAACTGTTTGATGAGGGATATGTTTTCACAAAACACTAAGCAAAGAAATACTACAGATTAGGGTTTTGTTTTAAACAAAAGCTAGATGTAGGATTTGAGACTAGACCTTATTATGTAGCCTTGATTGGCCTAGAACTCATTATTTAGACCATGCTGGCTTTGAACTCAGAGACCCACCTGCCTTGCTTCCCAAATGCTGGGATTAAAGGCTGTTGTACCATTGCCTAGCTAGTTGTAGTTGTAGGATTGTTATCAATGGCTATTAATAATCACAAAAAGACAATACATTTAGTAGAAGCTGAAACTCTGTAACTTTTGTTTTTGAAGTGTATCAGTATGTTTTCTTTTGATTTATATTTTATGTGTGTTGACTGGACCACACGTGTGGTGCCTTGAGGGGACAAGTATTGGATCTCCTGGTAGAACAGGAGTTACAGCCAGCTGTGAGCTACCAAGTTGGTGCTGGGGACAGAATTCAGATCTTCTGCAACAGCAGCCAGTGCTCTTAACCATTGAGCTGTCTGTTTCGCTTTTTAAAGTTTTTTTAAAGATTTATTTTTATTTATTCATATGTATTCATGAGTACACTGTAGCTGTCTTCAGACACACCAGAAGAGGCCATCAGGTCCCATTACAGATGACTGTAAGCCATCATGTGGTTTCCGGGAATTGAACTCAGGACCTCTGGAAGAGCAGCCAGTGCTCTTAACCACTGAGCCATCTCTCCAGCCTGCTGTCTGTATTTTTAACTGTACTGTTTGTGTATACACCCAGATGAGTGCAGGTGTTCTCCAATGCAAGAAGTGTTGGACACCCCTAGAGTTACAGGTGGCTCACTTGGTGTTAGAGTGATAATACTGAATTCATAAGTGAGGTGAGATGTTTTCACACACACACACACACACCCTTAAAAAAAAATACCTGAGGAATCGAGATTTTCAAAATACAAGAGTTAAAGAATGAAGATACTTAAAAGTCTGTTGGAATTTACCATGAAACCATCCAGGCCTGAGGTCTTCTTTCTAGAGGGTTTTGTTTTTGCATTTTCCCACTAGTTCAGAGTCACTACTTGTTATGTATCTACTCAGATTTCAAGTTTCTCTGTCCCTTTTTTGAGATGGTATGCACCATTCTTCAACATTCCTGTTTTTCTGAGGTTGGCAGTAATGTCCTTTTAGTATCTAAATTTAATCACTTGACATTTTTTTCTCTTCTGCCAACCTGTACATTCATGAATTTTGCTCATCTTTCTAAAGACCCAGCACAGGTCATTTTTTAACTCTCTGATTTCTATTCTTCACTCCACACTTGTGTTTTACTCACTTCTTCCTACCTCTTGCTTTGGCCTGCCCTGGTATTAGATCATTTTCCTCTGTAATGTCTTTGTGTTGTAACTTCCCTCTGTGCATTGTTCTGTGTTCCCTGCTTTGATGTATTTTTTTCATTCATTTCAGAAGATTTTGCTTTGCCTTTTCTTTGATCCACTGGCTTTCCTGGTGTTAACTTCCACTTATTCTTTAATTCTCCAACTTCATGTCACTAGCTAGACTCAATTTACTATGAATTTAAACTATTCCATGTATAGTTGAAAAGACAAGCAGCCTATTACTGTCTCATTCATTAGATCTGAGTTACAGCACTGTTTGATTTTCTACTTCTTTATATTCTGTCCAGTTTTGGTTTTGACAGTCTTCTTATGCCGTGTAGTAACTGGTGGTGCTGGCCACTGGCAGCCCAGCACTTGAGTGTTCCACTACGACAGCTCTGTTACCCAATTCCTCATCATCGGACTGAGACTGGACTAGTTTGGAGCTCTGTGGTCTGATGTGATCATCACAAGCAACCCCTTCGTTTCTATTAAGGATTTAAGCCTTTGTTGTCTGATTGGCATAACCACTTACAACTAGTTGTTTATGTGACACTTTTCATCTGCTTGTCAACCTACTGTATCTTTATTCCTAAAACAGGTCCTGTAGACGGCATGTATTTATGTGGGTGCTGTGGATCTTAACTCGGGTCCTCAAGTTTTTGTACCAAGCGCTTTACTCACTCAGCTA